CCCACCCCGCCCCCAAAAAAGAGTTAGTTGAAGATGCGTATCATCCTGATGAAGAGAGTTCTAGGGTCAAATATTGACTGGGTTCTAGTTCTAGCTGTGTCACTTAACATTTGTGAGATCTTAGACAAGTTACTTCATCTCTCTGTGTCTCTTGGTTTCCCCATTTGCAGAATGGAGGTAATAACAGTACCGACCTCACTTTTAAGGTTTCACCTAACTGATTGCATGTGAAACACTTAGATTTACAATGTTTAGAACAGTGTGTGGCACTATAGTTATAACAGGTGTTCTTTTGGCAACATGAAATGAGCAAGCTGCAGATAATGGGTAGGGTGTTAGTGTATGGGAGGATGGATGGAATTACACTATAGTGACCTTTTCTTCCTGTAGTCATGATTTTAGAATCTGTAAATTACACATGTAATATAGGTTGGGTCTTTGTCATTTGTCTGTGATTTGCTCTCAGCAAGAACTTGCTGTAGTAGCAGTGGTGGTAATGGTAATGGTAAGACTAGCTTATATTTAATCTTCACCCTGACCCTGCGAGATAGGTGCTGTCACTCTCCCAATTTCCAGGTAAGGAGACTGACTCTTGGAGAGGGAAACAGCAGCCCAAGGCCATAGAGGTAGTGAGTAGCAGGGCTGCTCTTTTTAGCTACAACCCTGAATTGCCTCTGTGAGGTATGCTTACGGAGAACCCTGTTCACGCAACAGCCCTCTCACAGAAGAGTGGAAAGTGGCTTTATTTTCATTAAAGGTGATTAGTTGTTAACCTCAACTGATATCAGGGTCTGAAACTTCAGGTCTGAGTAGTGTAAGAGACCGTTAATCTCTTTTTTCCATTTCTCTTTTAGATATCAGTTTTTCTTGCAGGTGAAGCAAGATGTCCTTCAGGGCCGGCTGCCCTGCCCTGTCAACATTGCTGCTCAGCTGGGAGCTTATGCCATCCAGTGTAGGTTCCATTTAAGCATATTTGCCTCAGAAATGTCTGAAGAAAATATTTGGATTGTTCTTTGTAAGCGCGTTTATGTACTAAAACTCTTCCTATGAAATGAGACTTTGCTAAAAAATAAATTGAATTTAGAATTCAAGTTTTGATCATTGTCCCTTCAGAAGAGATAAAAATGGAACCTGTTACAGATCCCTTACAGTAGGTTGTGTGGAGTTTTAGTTGCAGGAATAGCATTGGTTTCTGTTTAAGTGGAGGTCCTGAAAGTCTGTTCTACTGTACATCTCACCTGCATTCATTAATTCCACTCCCCAAACCCTGCCCAAGGTGGTATGTCTTGGAGATCACATTGCTCCTAGGCGGCTATAGAGAGGGCTCCACATGGTCAAGTGCCAGTGCCAGGTTCAGAGTGTGGCACACACTTGGCGCTCAGTGCACTTCAGCTCTTGGCATCAATATGGCAGTCATGTGGGGTAGCTCCAGGTTGCAGTGTCATTTTGGAGACTAAGGCTATGATTATTTCCACTAATAATTACTGAACACTTTCTAAGAATCAAGCTAGGTATGGGGGAAATGAGACAGCACGGTCCTTGGGCTTGTGGTACTTACAGACTAAACTAATCTGGAAGAAATATCTTAGGAATAAGGTCACTTATATGAACTTGGCTGGGGCTTGGAAGGTAGATTAACATGGGGAGGAGCATTTTTATAATAGTAATGTAGTGAGCTTTTTGTTTCCTTTTGCTTCTTTGGGTGAACTATAACGGGGTATGTGCAGCATTGTTATTAGGCTTCCATGACCATTATTTGTTAACTGTGAAGAATTTACATTTCACAAAGACATTTCAAATGACATGCTCTATCTCTTGGTGTCATTGTCTGGGAGGATATATTGGGGACATGGTTGTTTTTCACCTCCAGCATTGCTAATGTTCGTACTCTGAATTCTGTTTAGAACATTTTATTTCATATAAACTCATAAAAATAATTGAAATGAAAATGGTGATAATTATAATCTCTGGGCAAAAAGCAAAAATAAAGAATTTATGTTTTTATGTCAAGATTTTTTTACCATTTATATGTGCTCATCAGAGTTGTTTCAGTAACATTTAGTAGTATGTATATGAATTTATTAATAAAGCTTTTGAAGAAAAAATGTTTAAGCACGATAGGAATATTTTTATTCCTATATTTTTAGCAATATTTTCCTAATGTGGAAAAAATGATGATTTTATTTCTTTTTTAGCTGAACTTGGAGATTATGACCCTTATAAGCATACTGCAGGATATGTGTCAGAATACAGGTTTGTTCCTGATCAGAAGGAAGAACTTGAAGAAGCCATAGAAAGGATTCATAAAACTCTAATGTAAGAATCATGTCTTAATGTTGCATCATTCGGCAACCATCATCTTAAGAGTTAGCGGACATAAGAATAGTTTCTAAAATGATTAATTCACCTGTGCTTTGAACAATCTAGCTTCCTTTTTCTCTTTGTAGTTTTTTTTTTTTACTGTCTGTAACACTAAAATGCTCATTGAAAATGACAACAATTTAAAAAGTATAAAGGAGAAAGGAAATCCCAATACCTGAAGTCAACATATGCTTGGTTAAGGGCCTTCCAGACATCTTTCTATGTGTAATTTCCCACAGGGAAATTTTATTTTGTGCAGATTTCTGTACATACGATTTTACATAGGTGGAATCATTCTAAAAATACTGTTCTGCAACTTTTTATTCAGTCAGTAGTATCTTGTGAGATTTACTTTCATAAACTATAAATATTTTTAACTGCAAAAATTAACCAAAAATGCCTTAATGTATTCTGTATTTGTTCTGAATTAAATATGTAAATTCTTCACAGTTATAAGCAAAGTCTTATTCAAGCTATGGCAACAATCTGGAAATCATGATGACACTAGTGTGGAGCCTCTGATGGGATTATGTTAACACCACATGCACTTTTGAGGGGAGGAACGCTTCCCTAGCAGGATTTTCAATTAATGGCCTGCAGCATTGAAGTTATAATTTAATTATAGTTATTTTGTTAAATCCTCTATACTGATTAACTTTGCATTATTACCTCTTATGTATCATTCCCTCTTGAACATGCTTAATTTCAGATCTATTGTACTTGAGAAAAAAATGTAGAGTTAATCTGGTCAACAAAAAAGTGTCTGTTTCAGTGAGTAGAAGCAGAAGTCAATTGCTGAATTGCAATCACAGAAACAAAGCTCTCCATCTTACATTAGCATGCACCAGGATGCTCTCCAGCCTGATCATAGAGTCCTTCATTAAGCATTCCTTGAAGTGGATGCTAAGAGAGTGCTTTTTATAACATTATGAAGGACTGTGTGTTTGGCACATTCTGAGATTGCTAATTCTGTTAAGAGTTTCAAAGTACAGTTATATTTTGAAATTATCAAGGATAATTTCATAAATGTGTTTTATGCAATAGTGTTGACAGTGTGATGGTTATTTCTAGGAATAAAGCTTGATCAAGGTTTGGTAGCTTTCTTGTGTCTAATTTGATGAACATTCTTTGTTAATTTCATGGACTTATGTTGCAAGGTTTTCCAGTGTACCATAGCTGAAACAAGGATATGGGTCAAAGCAGGATTTCTTAAGTTTAATTTTTAAAGATTCATAGCTCCTTTTGTTGACTGTGAACATCCCCCTCTCCCCCCATCTGTGGAGATGCTCACCTACATCATGGATGAATACTGTTTTCTGTATGTTGTCACCAGATTTGGGGAAGATGTGGGTATTCTCGTTGAAGAAAATGACAAGCACTTTTTACAATTTCTATACACTAACTAATGTATTTTCAAACTGCACATATGCTCAGGAGATGTTGATATGACCCCAGCTGGCGGGTGGGGGCCCTATGCTCTTCTGTCTGTCGGCACTGCTCCTGTTCTTTTTGCTCCAGTAGAGAGCTGCTGGTGCACAGAGATATTTTACTCTTTGTGAAGGAGATGCTTTTTAATTTGAGTGCTTATATCCTCAGTAACCTCTTTGGGAGTTTCTGAAACCGAGGATTGGTAATATATGCTGGGACATTGGGGATAGGCATTAATGAGCATAAATAGAGTTGGTAAATGAAATTAACTTAATATAAATATCACCTCAGAGTATAAAATATGGTCATCAAGAAGGCAAAGGCCTCCTTGAAATACAAAGACATTAGCATTAGTACAAAGGATTATTTATTTTTCCAGTGAATATAATGAAGATGGTTTACATTCTCTGTTAAGTGCAGTAGCTATCAGTAAAGTTAAGGCTCTTTGTTTTTATGCTGGGTACAGGGGTCAGGCTCCTTCTGAAGCTGAGCTGAATTACTTGAGGACTGTCAAATCCCTGGAGATGTATGGCGTTGACCTCCATCCCGTCTATGTGAGTAACATTTAATTAACAAAAAATATTTTAAGCTGATGACATTTTTCTTAAAAAGTCACTGAATCTCCCAAAGGAAAGCTGCAGTCCTGTTGTTTAGCAAGCAGATGATACTTTTTCATCTGTGTTTTTCTAACACAAAGCAGCTCTCCATTGGATTAAACCCTAATGAGTTTTGCATAAAAGTCTGTAATTATATTTCCATGTGTAGAAAACAATTAACTGGGCTTAAAAACACAATCTGGATAACAGCTCCAAAGGGCTTAGCTAAATGTCAAAACAATTTCAAATTGGTCTATAGTTGATTGTATTAGATAAAAAACAGGAAGATTTTTCCAAAAATAGATTTTATGACTGAAAAATACAAATAAAATCACTTGCCGAGTAAAGTAGGGTTAGGCAACAGTTCAGGTTCAACTACGAGTGGTTCTATGTTTGGATGTACAGGTTCTGTCAATATGAGGGTTACAACCTACTATAGGTATCACTGCATTAATAGAATACTTTTTGTATATTTTGTTCAGTGGCTGATGAAAACTTGCTGAATATAGTCAGTGAGCAGTTACTCTGAATCTGTGTTGAGTGTTCTGTATTCGGGTTTTAACCTTTGAGACCCTTCTCATGCTACCAATTGATTATTCTATGCCATTGAGATTGAAATGCCATTGTCTTTGATTTTGTAAGTATGGATAGCAATAGTCACAATTGATTATTAGAGAAAAAGAGACAAGAACCTTATTCTTTATAGGAAATGACTTACTAAAGAGTATATATAGATTGAATTTTTGTCAGTTGCATCATGGAACTCAATTTTTAAGGAACCCTGATAAAACATTCTGTAATGCAGATAACTCATTCTTGCATTCATTTGTGATATGTCTTTCCGTCATCAGGGTTTCCTAAAACAAGAAACCATGTCATTTTTTTTTTAAGAGTTAGAAGCATTCCTGGGTATACATTCAATGTTACAATAAAATTTATAGATTTAGGGGAAGTAGTAGTTCCCTGATATATAAGATTCCAATCTTGTTAGGTCATTAAATGCTTCTTAGTACTGTCCTTTAAGAATACCTCTAAAACTTTGTGGAATAGTAATCTTTTCCCCTTCTAACCACATTAGTCTTATTAGGTTTTTAGGTTTTTTTGTTTGTTTTTTAAATATTCTGTAGGAAATTTATGAAGAGAGTGTCTTCTGCAAAATGCTTCTGCATTTGTGTAATGTTTATCATAATTCACAATCACTTGTTTGTTAGTGGCAGGAATTTATGGCAAATGAGCTAGATTTGTTAGAATCTTCCAAGCATTCCTTTAAGGTTGAATTTTTAGAGCTGAAATTGGGCAACGACTGGTATTCTTTTCAAACATATTAGTTATCTTATGTTTCTTGTGACTATAACCTTACAGGCTTAGAGTAGAAATAACATTTATACAGACAGTTCTGTGCATGTCCTTGGTACCCACTCTGTGACTTTTCCATTTCAGAATCCCATTTTCTCATTTGGAATTTATCATTGCCTGGAAATAAAGGTTCTCCAGTCTTTATCAGAAGAGATTGTGTTTTTAAATTTTTGAGCAGTCTTAAAATTATAGGTGGAAGTAGAGACCTCAGAAAATTCAAGAATGTGTCTGCTGGTAGCTGCCCAAACTTTCTGGAAAGGTGGTGGTGGTGAGCCGGGCCTCATGATTGTCCGTGTCAGAGAGTAAAGTCAAGGCAAACATTTGAAAGCACCCTTGATAGAAGCCAGTGGCTCTCAATCCTTGGCTTCACAGGAGAATCACCTGGAGCTTTTATGTGTTTTTGATACTTTGGCCCCTTTACTAAAGATTCTGGTTTAACTGGTATTGGTAACACCCAGGCACTAGCATTTTAAGCTGCATGGGCGATTCCAGTTAATGTGCAGCTAGGCTTGAACACCACTGTCTAAGCAACATTGTGTAAGTCAATTTGTGGCCTGATTAGTAGTCCAGGTTCCTTTTAGTGAACTAAATGAATTAACACTGACAGAAAGGTTTTCTTAAAAACTTTGGATAGGGCCGAGCCCATGGCGCACTCAGGAGAGTGTGGCGCTGGGAGCACTCCCGCCGCGGGTTCGGATCCTATATAGGGTTGACTGGTGCGCTCACTGGCTGAGCGCGGTGTGGCCGGTCTCAAAATGGACAAAAAAAAAATACCTTGGATAAAATGAGCAGCAAGTTAACTACTATTATAGCTTAGCTAGCTTTCTAGGCTGTTGTCTTTCAAAAATTAAATTTTCTCTGGTTACTAGAGGTGGGACAGGGAAGGGGGAGGGAGGCTGGCAAGAAATTAGTTAATGGATGTAAAGACATAAACAGATATGTTTTGTAATGACGAATGTACTAATTATCCTGATTTGATCTTTACATATTCTACATAGGTATTGATATTCAACTCTGTACCCTATAAACATGTATAATCAATTACAATAAACAGATATGTTTTGTAATGACGAATGTACTAATTATCCTGATTTGATCTTTACATATTGTACATAGGTATTGATATTCAACTCTGTACCCTATAAACATGTATAATCAATTACGTTTCAATAAAAAAATTAAATCTAATATTAAAATAGCAAATTATATTTGTATGACCAATTACAGGTTGACAAAGAGCTTTTATGTGAATAAATGAATGGTTATAGACATATGTTTGTTTTTGCAGGGAGAAAACAAGTCTGAGTATTTCTTAGGATTAACTCCAGTTGGTGTTGTTGTCTACAAGAATAAAAAGCAAGTGGGGAAGTATTTCTGGTAGGTGTAACTTGAGAGCAGAGTTGGCATTAAAGCTATTCACTGCATGTATTGGGCTTATGGGGCTTTTGTGTCAGTGAAAGAGTTGGGAAAAAGAAAATAGGTATCTTTCCATTGGTTGGTAAATAAATGAATAAATTGGGTGTAAGTTTTCTCCCAGTGTACCTTAGTATATATTTTCTTCATAAATGTCAGGCGCTGTGATTCTGGTCTCTCTTGTCTGTAGAAGCTGTGCGAAGTAGGTTTTCCTTTCCATTCCCATGTGTGTTGATGGACTGTGGACCCAGGACTACTCTGAGTTTTAGCTCTAAACAGGGAAGGATGGGAGAGATTGGGGAGCCTGTGGCCCTGCAGTACATCTGGGAAGGCAGCACTGCCGGGATGTGGGGACTGCTAGCCAGTCTGTGCATTTAGTGGAGAAGCATAGACAATGAGAATGGAGGCTTCTTTAGGAGACTGTCCAGACAAAGGACATATGGGGAGTTCTCCACAATTGCTGCAGCAGTATATAAAGGAGCCAGTATCCACCAGTCTTCATCCAGTGGATAGTTCTCTGAATTTCTGAAAGATTAATTCTTAAAAACAGCAACAACAGCACCATCTGCTTTGTTTTTTTAGGCCTCGGATTACAAAGGTTCACTTCAAGGAGACTCAATTTGAACTCAGAGTACTTGGAAAAGATGTAAGTTTTTGTGGGCACTAAGCTTAAATGAGAAGTGGAGTCTTGTCTGCTCATTTATAACTTAAGATATTCTGAACTACAACTAACATTTTCTTCAGCTACAGCCACATGGAACTCATGTGCACAACTTCTCAAGGAAGGGAAAGGGAAGTGAGTCAAATGAGTGAGATTTGATAGAGAAATGTCATTTTAGTTTTAGCAAAGGAGAACCAAACCTTTCTAGGGCAAAGGAGAGAATAGGAGGTGATTATTGTCATTAGTGTAGTTTGCTTTTCAGTACTGTCTATGACTGAATTCATATACATATAATCAGAAGGGTGTAGCCTGAATATGGGACTGCAAAAAAGTGTCCTAATTTTGCACTAAAGTAAATTAAACAAGTTTTTGGGTATCCTACTTCTGCTCTTTCCATAGTTGAGTGTGATAAAGCAGATGGAAATTCTGGACTCCTTCAAGGGAAAATGTAAGGCAAGAGTGGAAAAGTGCTGACCTTCATTCTGTGACTTGGCAGTGTCCTCTGGGGGTGTTTGGGTAATGGGCACAGTATTTGTCAGAGCCTGGAGGTGCTTTCATGCTTCGACAGGTAGCTTTTAGAAAACTGGTCAAAAGAAGGCAAGGATATGAAAGTTTCCTTTTGATCTACCTGTGAAAATAATGCTCCCTTGAAGTGCTATTACTATAATCCATGTTTATAGGATACGTGGGTAAAAGTATGATGTAGGAAAATCTACCCTTCAGCCTTTTTGATGCTGACTTTATGCAGATTGCAAATCAAGTGAATGGAGTTGAGTTGACTTAGTGGACGTTGCTGTGGTTGAATGTGTCTCCCAAAGTTTCATGTATCAGAAATTTAATCCCCACTGTGACAGTGTTAAGAGGGTGGGAAATCCTATTATGGTAATTGAAAGGTGGGGCCTTAAAGAGGTAATTAGGGTGATCCATTCATAGAATAATAAGTTCACGGTTTAATGGGTGGTAATGGGCACGGTTCTGATGGCTTTAAAAGCAGAACAAGTGAGAAGGTCAGCTATCTCTTGCTCAAGCCATTCTCACCACATGATACTCTGTGTCCCTGTAGAGTTGCCACCAGGAAAAGACCGTCACCTCCCAACCTCCAAAACTGTAAGAAATAAATTTCATTTCTTTAGGCATTATCCAGTTTCAGGTATTCTGTTATGAGCAACAGAAATGGGCTAATACAGATTTAAAAAACAAAAAACGTAAATCAGCACTTAGGTATTCACATGCTGAGACACAGGAACAGTACAGCCACAACTGCAGTTGTGACGTGGTATATGGCAGAGCACCTTACATGTAGTAGGTACTCAATAAATATCTGTTGAATGACCAATGAACTGATATACTGAGACTTTGTACTGCGAAATCAGACAATCTAGTGTTGCTATTTGTTTTTCTTCTAGGAAAAAAAAAGAAAATATTCTACCCTGAACTACATGACATGCTGCCATTTATTGAAAAATTAAAATTACATTTAAAAATGATTTTAAACTTGTAAGAAAGGGAGATTCCAGATTTTTAAAGAAATGATAGGCCAAAAACCTCAAGCTAGTTTTTAATGGTCTAGTTTGGAGAAAATCCACTGCGTTCTTCAATTCCTGGTTACAAGTGTCAGTCTTAAAAGATGTGCTAATGTAAGACTGAATTAAAATCATTCCAAAAGTAGAAGATCTAATTAGATAGAAGAGACTGTAGTTTTCTCCCTATCCTGACATTGGGTTCACAAGACTTAATAATGCAAGGAATAAGGTCTGTTAAATATATTAAAAATAATGTTTCAAGTGTTTTTATTTTAGCAGCAGTATATGATAAAATAGCAAGACTTTTCATGGAAGCATTACTGTTATTCAAAGTATTCTTACCCCTTATACCTAAGTTATTTTGGGGAGTGAGGTCCTTTGGTGAACTACTTCTATGTTACTGTTACAGTGCCTTAAAATGTCTTGTCTCAGGAACTTTCACCTTCTTAAACTTCATTATTAGATGAAAGCAACAGCAGCAAAACTGACATCACCACGTTATTTTTCGAATGGCCGTCTCCATGCATGACCTGGTTTCCTGCATGCTCTTCTCTCTCTCTCTCTCTCTCTCTCTCTCTTCCCCAGCTTTCAGACCAAAGGGACACTTGGGGGGTCTGGAGGCACTGCACCGCTCCTGGGTCGCTAAGCCTAGTGTCATTGATCTCTAGTTAGGCGGCAAAGCAGGTCACATAATTCAGAGGCTTGAATCAAAGGGATTTTTAAATTGTTATTAAATAGCACATTAATTTAACCAAAGCGTTCTATTTCTTGAGCATTCTTGCTTGCAGAGTCTTTTTTCTTTCTCCACCAGGGTACCTCTCTGTGAGGCAGTGATTTACATAATGGTAGAATTAAGTTGATTATTATGGAGGCCTAACTGTAATCACAGATTGAATTAGAAAGCACCTTAAAACCCATCACCTGGAACGGTAATCACATTCAGCTTGAAGAATGGTTGAAATGCTTATTCTGCTGGTTTTCTGGTTTGCTGGTCTGGTCAGACGGACTTAACTCAGTATGTTTAGTGCTTTTAGGCCAAATTTAGAGACTCTTTTATGCATTATTTAAATTTCAAAATAGGTACTGTGGTTTAAATAAAACCCCACAGAAAGTCTAAACTTTTAGTATAAAGATCTTACATGACTTTTCTACACAGACTGTAGAAAATCTGGAAAATATATTGTAAAGAAGAAAATTAAAATTACCTATTATCCTAAAATTCCAAGGTAATGATTATTAATATTTTGGTATAATTGCTTCCAAATTTTGCTCTATTAGCATGAATATGTAATATATATACATATATGTAGATTACCCCCATGTGGTTTTTTGTACATGCTTTTATGTTTAATACTGTATCATAAGAATTTCTTCTTTTTAAATTATATTTATTTGTATGTGCCTGCTTGGTGTTTGATAAGTTTTATTTTTTATGTTTTACTTTTTTTCTTGTTATTGTGGATGCAGTCTTTTCCTCCTATTAAATGTTCTAACTGGTTTTTGCTAGGAGAAGTGAAAGCTGTGGCATTTTATATGTTTATCCCAGATCTGGCATTTTTGCTGAATTCTTATGTTCCAGCCAAGAGTTCTTAATTTGATTCTCATAAATTTTTATAGGTGCATTACTTGCAAATGAAAATAATTTATTCCCCCATTTCTGTTATGTACGTTTCATGTTTATAGTGTTGGTCAGAACCTCTAGAAGAGTGTTAAGTGATATAACAGTATAAGCATCCCTGATTGGTTTCTGATTTTAATGAAAATACTATTTCATTGCTATGTGCCAATTTTTGGTTTTAGGAATATGTGTTTATTACTAGGGGCTTAAATTTTAAGTTTATTATCAAGTGGTTGATTTTTCACTCCAGTGCCTGGAGTGATAGTGATTAAGATTGTTGCTTGTTCACTCATTCAACAACTTAAACAAACGCTTATTTCAAAATCCAGACAAGATGTGATAGTGGCTCTTCTCAATGGATCAGGGTAGCAGCAGTCGAAGTGCTAAGAAGCTGTTGGATTCTAGATTTAACCAACAGGGTTTCCTGGATTTGGGGAGAATGAGAGAGAGGAGGCCTGGTGACTTAGAGGTGTTTGGCTGGAGAGGCAGGAAGGATGGAGCTGCCTTCGGGCAAGGTGCGGAGGCTGTGGGTAGAGCAGCCTTGGAAGGAGAATCAGGACTCCCATTCAGAACACGTTGAGTTTGAGAAGTCTTTTAGACAGTTAAGTGGACATGTTAAATAAGAAGAGGGCTCTGTGAATGCGGAGTTCAGGGCCAAGGTCTAAGCAAACTGTACAAATTTGGGACTCATTCACATATCCTGGTATTCGAAGCCATGAGACTACATGAATCACTAGGAGAATGAGTATAGATGGAAGGGAAGAGAGAGAACCAGCAAAGAAGGCTGAGAATGATCAGCCAGTGAGGTCGAAAGAACACTAATTATCCTGGATTCCAAGTAAAGTCCTGTATTGAGGAAATGTCAAATGATGCTGATATGTGAAATAAGATAGGACTGAGAATGACCCCTGAATTTGGGAATGTGGGAGGTCATTGACAAGACCAGTTTCAGTACATTGGAAGAGTGGGCTTCAACCCAGCAGTTTCCCTCTTAGGTATACATACCCTAGAGAAACATGAGAGGCATGTCTGTTCTGTGCTGCACTTACATAAAAGTAAAAAAAAAAAAAAAAAAGAAAGAAAATAACCCAGAAGACCATTAATTGAAGAATGAACAAATAAAAAATTGATGTATATCCATTGCGGGGGGGGGGGGGGGCCAAAAAAAAAAGCCACTATGGGGTGTCATTCGGTCTGGGGCGCGG